CAGTGTATATCTATGTGTAAAATGAATTCTATGTATGCAAGCATGTATTTTCCTTATATAGCACTTTTTTACAACAAATGATTGCATGGCGAGGCAGTGGCGCAGTAGGTAGTGCTGTCGCCTCACAGCAAGAAGGTCACTGGGTCGCTGGTTTGAACCTGAGCTCAGTTGCCGTTTTTGTGTGGAGTTTGTATGTTCTCTCTGCCTTCGCGTGGGTTTCCTCTGGGTGCTCCGGTTTTCCCCACAGTCCAAAGACATGTGGTTCAGGTGAAGTGGGTAAGCTAAATTGTCCGTAGTGTGTGAATGTGTGTGTGGATGTTTCCCAGAGATGGGTTGCGGCTGGAAGGGCATCCGCTATGTAAAAACTTGCTGGATAAGTTGGCGGTTCGTTCCGCTGTGGCAACCCCGGATTAATAAAAGGACTAAGCTGACAAGAAAATGAAATGAAATTAATGATTGCATTAGTGCAAGACGTGTTTGGCGCGATTTGTTGCTGTTTTCAGACCAGAGCAACCCTAATTTTCCCGTTTTGCACCACGTTGTTTAAATAGTAAACCTATTTGCACCGCTTTGTGGACTCATGGGTGTTCTGGTCTTAAAAGGAGGTATGTTAAGGCACATTGTTGGTGCGTTGCTATTTTGAGGAACTAAAATAGACTGAGCAATTGACCAGCTAAAAGCAGGTCTAAAGTCCAGTGCAGTTAATTGTGTGCCTTAAGCGCAATATGCAAATATCTTTACAAATGAAAAAGAATTAAAGGATTAAAATATTACAAAAAGTTTTATTTTCTACATAAATATATAAACCACTGCCTCCATGCCTTCTTCATGTCTGGGGCGATTTTTTCAGTTTATTCATAACAATTTGCTTTTGTATAATGTGATTATTATTATTAGTAGTAGTATTTGCATATTTACATTTGTTTTAATAAAAACCAGTTTAGATTTGTCCATCTGTTGGGATGTGCATCACCATATGGGGCATAGGACATGCGTTTGGATATAACCACACTCTGGTATTTTTGTTCATTTATTAGTTTGCTGAAAATTAGAACTGAATTCAGAAATAGGTTTTAAACAAATCTTTGAGCTTAACAAATGAAATTAAATATGTAAGCTAATAGATGTCTTCAGTGGAGTGCGTACGACACCATTTCCTTATCCACTAAAGTATAGGAGTAAAGAGTAAAAGTAAAGAGAAAGTAAACAGGCCGAATGGAGGAGGCTTGTTCTTTATTCTCGTGCTGCAGATGGTTTGTTTAACTGCTTTCTCGCTTGTGAAGCGTTCAGTTCTTCCATTTACAAATTCCGCCATGTAAACAGCAAATGCACCATGGCGTAATGTAACTGACTCTTAAAGAGAATGGGAGATGAGACTCTGATTGGTTTACTGCATGTTATGCTCAAACCACACCCTTAACTCAAAAGAAAATAAGCATAACCCTGCTACACTATATGCTGCGTCGCAAAGTGTATTTTTTTGTCCTTAAAATAGCAAAAGTGCATTTGGATTAATGCTTTTGCACCATGCGCTTTAGCTTTTGTGCCTAGATCGTTAAAATAGAGCCCGTAAGGTTGAAGCACGTCTAATGTGAGGTGGAAGCTTATTACAGCACTTTGGAGTAATAACACTGAAAGCCAGATCCCTTTTTTCAATTAAATCAGGTTCTTGGTACTGACAGAAAAGACTGATTTGATGACCTTAATGACCTATCAGGACTGCACAATATATCGTTTCAGCATCGATATTGCAATGTGATCATTCACAATAGTCACATCATAGGATATGCAATGTTGAGCTTGTCTTATGATTTATCATTTGTATGTGCTTTTGAGGCCTGTGACTGTATAATGCGTTAAATTTATTCAGGAATAAGAAATTGTCCTGTTTGTAAACTTAATAATGATTCATTTTATTTTTATTATTCAATTACTGTACCTGACGACTGTCAAACTGGGAAAATGTCAAACCACTGGTTAGTTCCAATGTATATTTTTCTTTTTGTAAATATATGCAACCCTGCATTTTTTACAGTGTATGTATTCATTTTAATGTGTTTCTTTTGTTTATTTCCTTTTCTTTTTTAAAGGCACTTTTTATTTACTTGTTTTGATATACTCTAAATTAGGAGGTTTAGGTTGTCTTTATGCGCAAAAAAAGGATGACACGGATCTAATGTCGTTTTTCCATTTACTCTAATTTCCTTAATTTCAAGGTCAATGGTTAGTGCTATGAAGTTGTTCAAGCACAGTATAAAAAATGATAAAAAAATTATTACAAATTAAAAATAGGAGAACACTATCAGACCCTCACACGCTGAAAAAAGGCTTTTTTTGGTCTTTTTTCAAGTCCAAACATCTAAAAATCCTTAAATCAAAAAGCATTTTCTAGACAAGCAAAAAAGATTGTCTTGTTCTAATAATTAAAATGCCAAAATTAGGTGAGTTTTTCCCTAAACAATAATTTGCCAATGGGGTAAGCAAAATAATGTTGTTATTTAAGGGAAAACAAAATTATTTTAATTAAAAAAAATCTAATCAAAAACCTTTCTTTATTTACTGTACAGTTACAGGTTTTAATCAGCAGCTAGTGGTAATGTCCTTAATAATCTGACAAACTCTTTTTAAGTGGTAGCATAACATTCTAGTCATTCTTCACTTTTGCAAGATGGGAAGCCTCCTAAAATGACTGAAACCCTCCAACATCAGGTTGATCCAACCCAGACTCATTCTGATTGCGTAGCCCTATATACATTTGTGCAGAGAGCAAAATACGTTCCAGGAGGTATTTTTTATTTATTTATTTTTTTGCAGTTTTTGTTTTTACGAATTCACCAGAGGCAGCTGTGAATGCTTTTTCAGATCTCAAATTTCTCTCACGAGTATCATTCGTGCCTGCCCACCAGAGGCCGCTGTCGACTTACTGACTGACCGACTGACTGACTGACCAACCGACCGATCCCCCACCGTCCCCCTTTCCTAAACCCAACCAATAGTGCTTTAAAAAGCACAGACTGACCCACCCACCCCCTTTCCTAAACTCAACCACACAATGCTTATGGCAGCCTGACTTTTACCACGTTCTCACCATTATTTGATTGTTTATTTAAATTTTTTGGCTTATGTTTTATCTGCTTTCTTGAATCATTCTTCATTGGACTCAAACCCCATTGTCAGGGTCAACTCCACTTTGCATCTCAAGCCCGCCGATGTACATGTCTAGCTACCAGACAAACTGGTAACAGTGGAAAAGCGGTCTATACCGAGGAAAGTGGTCAGCTGGGAAACAAGAAAAGGAGTGGTGCATGAAGGTATGATATACAGCCATACATGGCTATAAATCACAATCTCCAGTATGTATATAGGGCTACGTTGTCAAAATGAGCCTACGTTGGGTTGATCAGATGAAGGCAAAATTTATTGTCTTTTCAACCAAGTTAGTCAATCCAAATGTATAATTTCCAGAATATTGCTTCTTTAGAACATCACTAACTCATTCACCATCTTTAGCTGAACTATCCTATTAATTGTTAATTAACAGAATTGTATTATGCCTAGTGTCTGTCATTAATATGGCAACAACTTCAAAATGCTCTAGAGAACTATCAGTCATTATGTTTTTGTAACAGCCAAATACATTTGGAATAGAATAACTGCTTTCACAAACAACAATATAAGCCAACCATATTTAAAAAATAAGATTCCAAACTTCAAAATTTATTCAGACTCCAGAAAGTATCCATGTGCAATTCGGAGGTTGATAGAAACTGTAAGTGAGTGGGACATGTCTGTTTTGCACCATCTATGTCAATGCAACCTGCATCATTGTAGATATGTAGAGATTTCACTTCTCGGCTGATAAAAGACACTTCAAGATTGTCAGACTATTGATGATACTAGCTGAGATATTTACATTAGCTAAAATAGCTAAAATAAAACAAATAAGTCTTTCTCCAGAAGAATAAATATAGGAAATACTGTGAAAATTTCCTTGCTCTCTTAAACGCCATTTGGGAAATATTTGAAAAAGAAAAATCACAGAATGGCCAACAGTGTTGACTTCAACTGTACCTACAAGACCGTGACTAGCTTTTTTGCCATACCTATTATGACTAGATTTTGTTCTTAAAAATTCATACAATTACTATTTTGATGTAAGTGTAGGGTTAGGGATTATAGGATTTTCAGGTAAGGGTTTGAGTTACCATTAGGAGTAACTAATAGTAACTACAACTGCAAACGATTGCTACCTTAGACATCAGTCGATGTGCTTCCTTTACCCTTCAAATAGCACAAATTTAAATTGAAAATTGAAAATATGAAATGTAATATTCAGAAAACTCAATGGTGTGTGTTGTGTAAATAAACCTAATGACAAATTTAGTCACCAACCAATGGTCAATGGTAATGTTGTCATTTTGCAAAGTTTTTTCTTATAGACTGCTAAAATAATTGCTAAAGATTTGCTAAATAATTTGTAATAGAAACACACATAGTGTTTGTCTATACAAAATATAACTTTTCTGTGATGATCTATATGTTAGGAACACAACAATATGAACACTGTGGGCTATATTTTGACGGTCCATGTGCAAAGAGCAGGGTGCAAACGCTTTCAGGGCGTGTCAGAATCCACTTTTGCTAATTTAAGGACAGAAAAATCCGCTTTGCGCCGTGGCGCATGGTCTAAATGGGTTGAGTTTATTTTCTTAATGAGTTATTAATGAGTTTTGAGAATAAACCAATCAGAGTCTCATCTCCCATTACCTTTAAGAGTCAGTTGCATCGCGCCATGGTGCATTTGCTATTTACATGATGTAAAGTATAAGTGTAAGTGTAAAAACTTAGCATTTCAATAGCAAGGAAACAGTGAAACAGAGCATCTACAGCACGAGAATGAGAGACAAGGCATCTCATAATCTACTAGACTGTCTATTTTCTGAACAAACACATGTAGTGACACAAGCCATAGTTTGTAGAACATTGAAGTGTACACTCACCCTCTCCTCCTCCTCCCTTAGGTCAGGCATGGTGCTGACACACAGTGTAACCGCAGTAATGGCCACAAACACCACAGAGAGGCATGCGAATATCTTCCCAGGAATACCAGAGTGAGGATTCTCCACCATATCTCTTAGGCTGTGCATGCAGCCCGACAAACGACCCTCCTCTGGGCTCCCAACTGCTGGCGCCTCCTCACAAGAATGGGGAGAAGTCAACTCGGCCTCCTCCTCCTCTAGCCGTAGTCTCTCCCGCTGCTCCTCCTGCCGCAGACGGAGCTTTCTCAAACAACACCACTCCAAACTGGCCTCCTCCACACCCCAATACGACAGCTCCTCCTGAAAGGACAGTGCGCACATCTCCCGCAGGAGCCGAAGCTTCCCGGCTGCCAGGAACGTGACAATGGACCGGAAGGCGCTGGGGCTTCGGTCGAAGAAGAACTCGTTGCAGCGAGCATCATAGTCATCGCACAAGTCCAGGATTTCCTCGGCATTGTTGCAGTTATGCAACCTCCCAAGACGTGTCAATGGGAACTCCTCAAGAGTGGACCACGGTATGCGATAACGAATGCCACCTACGTTGATGATGGCAGTACGGTCAAATAAAGAACCCTCGTCTGCTCCAGCTCCTCGATTTCTGTGAACTTCGTCCTCCTGTGCTGTGGCCTTGCGTTGCACTTGTGCGCGCTTGTAAAACACTCCCTTTTTACTGCTGATTTCATGCTTGTTTTCCAAAGGGTTAAAGTGGAAGGAGGTAAACTGATGATCGGTGCTGCCTGCTAGGAAAGCGACCTCTTGGTACATCTCTGCCACATGGATGTGTGGGCTGTACACTCCACAGAATCACAGATTACCGGGTCATGGTGTTCATCATGGCTGAGCTCTGAGAGATAAAACAGGGAGGTTTTAATAAAGAGTTATGCTATGGCTCAAGGCAAGCTAAGTCTGGTCTCGGAGAGCCACGGTCCTGAGGAGCACAGGTGTCAAACTCAGTTCCTAGAGGGCCTCAGCTCTGCACAGTTTAGTTCCAACCCTGCTTCAACACACTTATCTGTAGGTTTCAAACAAGCCCCAAGGACTCAATTAGTTTGATCAGATGTGTTTAATTAGGGTTAAAGCTAAACTGTGCAGAGCTGCGGCCCTCCAGGAACTGGATTTGACATTTGTGCTGTAGAGTTTTGGTCCAAACTACCTGTAGCTTTAAAGAAACCCAGTTCAGATAAGTTTGATTTGGATGGGAATGCAACTCTACAGGACAGTGACTCCCCAAAACTGAATTTAGCACTTCTGCTATTGACCTTATTCTTCGAAGTGCGCTGGTTTTTGAGAATGTTTTAGAAATTTCGATTTTGTTTCCTACAGGAGAAATGACTAGGAATATTAAACGGCAGAAAATGGTCAAACTACTTGCTCTACAAACAAGTGTGCACATGACTATACATAAGAAGTAGAATAATATCTGTTTGAAACATCAAGCAGCAGAACAAGCTGTTTTTAATGTCTATAAATGAATGGAAGTGAATGAGGCCAGAAGTCCCGAGCCAAAAAGGTTCAAATGGCTGCGCCCACTCATTTGTGAAGAATATGGTCAATAGTTCCAGCTCACAATGTGCAATTTCGGCCATTATTTTTCTGAGACAAATTTTGGAAATCCTAAAAGATTCCAATAAAGCAGGCCTAAAATCTGTGGTCTTTGAATGTTTGACATATTCACTGACAGGCATTTAATAGCTGTTCAAATCAAACTTTTCTTTGAATGAAATTCTGGCAGTGTCAGAAGATTTCAGACACTTTCCTGCAGTGTGACTTCAGTTAAGCAATCAGCGAGACAACTTCAAACCATTGCTGGAAAATGTCGAAAAAAACAAAGGTATGAGTAAAATTAAAGTTACAGATTGTTTATGTTTGCTGTGTTATTATTTCAGAATCTGGATTACTGAATGTGTCATGGATTGATGATGTGTTGATTGATAATGGCAAACTTCAGATGAGCCTTGCATGTATTTGGCACATTTTGATTTTCATTCAGTCTGACATTATGTTAACTGAGATCTTACAGTTCATACAGTGAGCTGGGATTTACTCAGAAAACAGCACAGAAGAAAGAACACAAACAACAGGTGAAAATACAACCGTAATTAATTGGAAATTTTCAGTGTCTCTGGATTTACAAATTACAAATTTACAGTATTTACAAATTACATAGTTTTTGTTACGCAAACCACTAAGAACATTTGTTTTAATAATATAAAATAAAAAAGAAACTGTTATAATAACAACACAAAAAAACAACAAAAAATTTTCAGATGTATAAATCCATTTTCAGACACCACATTACAAATGTTTTAGAAATTTATTTATTTTTAAGTATATCTTTGTTTGTTGTCTTGTATTGCTGATCTAAATAAAATCACTGGAGTGATGACACATGTTTGTGGTCCAGCCCTTCAGTTGATTCTGAATTCCTAGTAAAAAAAAATTAATAATAATAATAATATACACTTTTTCATTAGCTTTTGGATTGTTGCAAATCTAAATGTTATAATTTACACACACTTATTTTATGGATAATCTTCACAAATTAACACAACCTTTGAGGCTTAAATATAACATTCATTAGGCAAAAAGGGAATGAAAGATTATAAACAATAAATGAAATACATCAACTTCATAACTACAGTGTCACAATCAGAAAGCTTTTGACAACTCTTTCAGTCTTTATTTAATCAATACTTAGATTTTGAGCATTCACATAAAGGGGTATGGGTGTCCCAATTTTCTTTAGTTTGAAGGCGTAGGGCTGAGGGGAAGGGCTAGATACCCCTTGAAACTGATTTTTCAGGACCACACTTGAAACCGAGGGGTAAGAATATTTCCCAGAATACACCATCTACAACGGCAGCATGGCTGCACACGGAAGTAAAGAGATGCATAAATTAGTATTTTTTGTCATTATTATGAATTTTTATAACAAATAAGTATGTTTTAATACATTCATAATAGAGTCTAAGTTTTACCACTTAAAAAAAAACGCTAAAACAAAAGCCACTAATTTTCGCTATCTATAAACCATAATAATAACCCCCGTATAGTAGTCCCACAAAACGTTTTCACATCTGACACTCGATGACACTCAAATCCCCTGTCAGAAAGGTCTAGTGGCTGGAAATGAGCTTTTTACAGTGTATGCTGTAACGTTAGTGTTATTTTCATGTGTTTACATACAGTAGATTAATATGGTCACAGTGTAAATACACAGTAGTTACAAGTTTATTGCCACATTTTATCATAATGATAACATGATATCGTTGCCTTCAGTGGTTTCCTGAAGATAAAAACCAAAAAATAACGCAACTGGAATAACTACAGCAGTCGCGATTGGCAGATCTATTGCAATGACATATGATGACGTGTGTCTGTGTTGTAGTGTTGTCCCATTTCTTAAGGGTAAACTTTGAAGTGCTTCCCCTTCACACTCTGTTTCAAAGGCCAAGGGAAAGGGGAAGGGGTACAAAATCGAATTGAGATTGGACCCTCCTCTGAAAGTTGTGAAAGCATGCAAATATGGAAGTCATATGGATATTTTAATTGTGCATTTGCCACATTTGTATGTTGATTTTATTTGCATTGAAAAGTGGGCAACATTTTTACCTATATTATAACCAGGGCCAGACGGAATCTGCGGACGTTTTTTGCTTTTTCTGCAGAGAATTTTGGTAAAAATCTGCGGATTTCTGCGGAATTATTTTGGGAGTATCCAGCGGAGTATCATAACTAAAACCTTAATATATAAAAATAAAAAGTAATAAATTACTGAATAAAACCTTAATAATTTTTGATTTACACATTTACTCAAGTAAATAAACAGAATTAATGATGGGCTAAAAATCTGCAGAAATCTGCAAAATTCTGCAGAAAATCTGTGGAATTCTGTGCGCGCAGATTCCATGTGGGCCTAATTATAACCAATATGTAAATGAATTCCACCACCAAAAAAGGGTACAATTACACAACGACATGCTAAAAGGTTTTTTCTTTGCTTGCAAGTTTTGTGTAGAGATGACAACTCTGTCAAAATGATGCCAGTTAACACTGATTTAGAAAAAATTATTGTATTATTCATGTCAGGGCAGTAGTATATTATGCAATATCATGTTTTTTGTAGTTTACATAGAGATCTAACTGGCATATTTTTATGTTTGCTCTTTGAAACTAGCTTTCAAAGTTTGCATTTGCAGCCCCTAAAACATTGTCATGTAAATGAATGGGAAATGCTACTCTACTTAAAATGTTGATTGAAAACAAGTAAACACTTGAAAGTGTACAGAATTTAGCAACTTCATCCATCCACCTTACATAATCAATTATTCCTTGAGCTCTAGATTTAAAATGATAAGCAGCTTCATAATGATGATCATTAAGGGCAATCCTTCTCAACAAAAATACCTACAGACAAACACATAAACATCAACAATCATGCTGTAAAATTCCTACTAACTTTCTAATACGTCACATTCTCCTGACTCCATATTTATATTTTATCAAACAGGGGTGAAAATAGGTGCTCCCGTGGCTTTGGAAGTCTTAATTGCTCACAAGTCTCAGGATGCAGTAAATTCATGTCACAACACAAGCTGAATCCCAAAGCGGGGGAATTAATTATGATGTATTCTTTTCTATTCATGGCTAAGTTCCTAAATGAGCCATATTCTCCACACAAGGTCCAGTGCTCTCAAATGAACATGAGTATAATTAGTCTGACTGCAGTAGGAGATTTATGAAACAGACCTTCTCACGCCAGAGGATTCAGGTTGTAATTCTGAAAATCATCCATTACGTCTTACAAAGGCTGTTCAACATTTTGTTAAATTGAAACATAATCTATTCAAAAAGCAAAAAGTAATTTCAGTATGCTGTCTCCCTCATCATGATATTTACTATTATGCTAGAAATTATCCCAGTGAATATGACTGAACGTTCATGAGCTCAACGTTACATATAATTAGAGAGAAAGTTATACATTTTTGGCATGGTGTTCAAGGTGGGAGCACCAATCTAAGAATTTTGGTCTGTGCCTGAAATGCCCCAACAAAACTGACTCTTTTTAACCCTACCAAGAAAAGCGGGTCAGCTGGTGTCTTTTGATATAGTGTTTGTGAATAAAATATTGCATCTTCACAATCTCAGTCCAACGCGAGAGAGAACAGGATAAAGAGGATAATCAGTTCTACACAGCAACTGGAATTGACCATCAGTTCAGCAATGAACAAATCAGTATCTTTATGTACAGTCCAATGTCTTGTCATTTAAAAGAATTTGGACTGAAAGACAAATCTGTTATCAGTTAAATATTCATAAGGCTTTGCAGAGAAATATGTTGCGGGGACAGAGAATTGGCCTGGAGTTCACTGTTGTCATAAAACCAGGTTTTATTTATAAGGGTCCATTAGGAAATATTATGTTCAGAGTCAAACAGATGAAAGATAAACCCTAAAATGTGTAAATAAGTCAAGGAAACTTGAAGGAGGAAGAGTCTTGGTTTGGTGGTATTTTCTGCAGCAGGATTTGGCCTATAAAGTAGATGGCAGAGTTAATGTAAATGCTAATCAGAAGCTCTTTTGTCAACATGCAGTTCCCTTCATTCATTGCCCAGTCAGCCAGCCATTTTCATTTAGGAACATAACCCCTATCACTCAATAAAATGGGTTAAGCATTACCTTTAAATTGAAAAAGCTTGAATAATAAAATGGCCTGCACAGAGTCCTGATTTAAACTTGATTGAAAATCTCTAGTAGAAACAATATTATGACTAAGAAACCACAACTGTGGAAGAGACTGAAGAAGAGCTGATCAAGATCACAGGAGAAAAACTAGTAATGCCCT